AAAAAAAAAAAAAAAAAAAAAAAAAAAAAGTAGGACAACGTACGACGATTGTCTAGACTGTTTGGTGTCACAGGTCAAAGCCATGCCGATTTGTGCCTGTCTGGTTTCTTGTTTGAAAACATTATCCGGGGCGAATAACCGAAATACCTGGATCGTTTTTGAAATGGCTGAAAATGACAATACACGGCGAAATGATCAACACACAGATACATGTTTTAAAAATCGTCGACTGAAGGACTTGCAAGAGTATTTCCAATACTTTTCTTCCCGCAAACAAGTAAAAATTACAGTCGACAACGAAATATTAATCGAAGCAGTTTCAGTCGAAACGATCGAACGATTGGAATTTGAAATATTATTTCGAATAATTATATTCGTTAACAGACTCCTTGAGCAGGAAGTTTTAATACGTTTAATATATTTCCGACGCGTCAGAGGTGAAATTAGTATTCAGATTGTTACCTTGCTCCGAGGAAAGTATATATTTCAATTATTATCACTTGAAATACTACGCGAAAATCACATTCTAATCCAATATACAGTGAATTCTCGTGGTAAAAGCAAGAGCTATAACACGATGAAAGTAATCTCACGAAAGAGCAATCTATATCGTCACGCATTGTCGAGTGGGAAATTCACTGGTTATTCACCAAAGATAATCTTTATCGAAACTAGTTCTTGTTGGAACATCGCAAATAGGATTACTTCTATCGTTTTTTCTTAATCTTCAACGCTAATGAGATTTTCCTAACTTTTCCTCTTTCGAAGAAGAACGAAACATTTTGGAATTCTGACTTTGATTTGATTGAACAACAACGTCAACCTCTGGTCCAGTATTTCAATTTTTTTTACGTAACGATATGTTCTGGTGGTAGAAGCAAAAGTTACACCGTAAAAAAGAACAGATCGATTCTAAAGTTGACTACAAAAAAAAAAAAATAATCTTCGTCGAAATTAATTAACAATGGATTTTTATGCAAGCTCGTATTTTTTTTAAAGACCAATTGGAATCGAAGCATATCTGCTTAAATTCCAATTGACTTTAAAAAAAAATACAAATTTGCATAAAAATGGAATCCAAGCATGTTGTATTATAATTTTAACAAAATTAACAATATTGCAATTAAAATGCGGACTCTGTATGTTTCGTTGTATGGAAACTTGAGAGATGCAAAAATATATATATATAACGTAGATTTTAATAGAAAAATAACTATAATATAAAATATCCAAAGTAAAGTATATTACAATAAATGTGCAATTTATATACTATTACATAATATAATATATAGTTTAGATTATAATATACTATAATTATAATATAATATACATATAAAAAATATGTACAAAGCATGTATAATATATACATAATACAGTATTTATTTATATATTATTATATAATATAGCACATAGTAAGTTCTATCTGTCTAATGATGTTCATAAAAATTAATTCATAAAATCCGCATTCTAATTATGATATAATAAAATAACTGCATTGTGATAAATATCATCCTCCGTGAATTTTGTATATTCTCGCGTATTTTTATATATTCTATATATTATATATTTTATATATTATATATTTCATATATTATAATTATCAATATGATAATATAATTATGAATATAATATAATATAATATGATATAATGTAATGTAATATAATATAATATAATATAATATAATATAATATAATTATGAATATTATAAATATGAAATATATATATATTATATATTTCAAATATTATATTATATATTTCTACGCTTCCTTTTTATCATTATAACTTGTAACTCTCTGCAATTTATCTATTATAATTCTCTACAAATTTGTTAAAAAATTTGCAGAATATCCAACGAACAGAACCATTTCCGTCGTTCTTCCATTAATACTCGAAGAATTCAAATTTCAGTTCTCACGATCGTTCAATTTCATAGTTAATCTCCATCGCGATCGAATACCGATTTCTCTTTTCCCTCTTTCAATGGACAACAATTTCGCGACTTCTCGACATACTAATGTTACAACATTACATTTTTACCTGTCCTCGTCACTGATCATCACTATCACTTGTTATCATGCTGCTTGCGACTCTCCCGAATAACGAATGAAGACTAAACTCCTACAGGACGAGCGTACGACTACGAGTTTCGGTAATTGCGGCCTCATCAGCATCGGATGTGCGTGCTTAAGACAGTTACAGAAAAACAATGTAAATATACAAGCGGCGAGAAGCAAAATATTTCGTCTAATGTAGAATCAAACGGTCGGTTTCAAGCCGCAACAAGTGTATCTTATTAATACTCGAAGATTTTTTCCAAACGATTCGAGGATTTAAAGAATTTTAAGGGATCTACAGACTTAAAGGACGATGCTCGAA